TACATCAAGTCTCACCAAGTGATGTAATGCACTGAATGGAAAAACAAACTCCATGAGTCATACAAGGAAGCCATTTCTGAAAACCATAATCAAACATGGTCAGTAATGGCCTGAACTATTTGAAATTTGAGATGGTGTGTTTATAGACATCTCTATGTCTGGCTTTGTGAACGTCTCTAAATGCGTCCGTCATTTGTGAACATGAATGTGCGAGCAGATTGTCATTAGCCTGTTCGACTGGCGGCATGGCCGATTGTGTTCTGAAATCCGAATGGTGGGTGGGAGATCTCCCCCGAATCTCCATAATGTATTCAGCTGGTAGAGAAGCCAAGAGGCCGTTAGTGTGTACTGGGTCAGATGGAGGGATCTAAATGTGTCCGTGACCACCATGCTAGTGTGGGGGAAGCACAGATGGGCAGAGGGCCTATCTGAGTCTCTCCTGTGACTCAGTCATGTACACACACACACACACTGGCAGAGTCCTCCAGGAGTGAACTGACACTGTACACCAACACAAAGTGTATATGCCTGTAAACAACTTTTATTAGCCTCTAGGGAGACCTCCAGGGTGATTGTGATAAGGTTCAGACTTACTTTGACAGCTTACTTTGGGACAGTGAAGAGCAAAGTGGGATAATAGAACACTATTTATGTACTTTGGTAGGCGTAGCCCTGCGTAGGTTTAAATATTGTACTGTATGTGTGTGTGTGTGTGTGTGTGTGTGTGTGTGTGTGTATGTTTGGGCTGCATGTCAAAGGGAGTGTGTGTTCATGTCAGCACATTATGACAGACTGTCTAAGTGTATCTGTGTGTGTGATGGGTGTGTATGTGTGTTTGTGGCCTGCTTTCCCCCATTCAAATGAATCATGACAGCTTCAGGAATGTGCGCCACTATTCATTTGTAGTCTGACTGCAAGAATCAGCCTCTCACTTCCCAATACATTTATGGTAAGAGCAGGCCCTACTGTTTATATTTACATAACTGCAACAGAAGCCAAACATTCCTGTGTTGGAAGGTTCCATGAGTGTGTATTTATGTGTTTGGAGAATAATGAACCTTTTGTGACTGCTTCAGTCACACCTACGGTAATGCAACTAGACACGCTGATGATGAGCATACAAACATACACGTGCAGGAGGACAGAATTGTTATATACATTCATGATCACACACACACACACATCCTTATGGAAGAATAGCTCTGCATATAAACAAGTATCCTTCATATTGTGTTGAATGTTGTTCTAGTTTTTTTTTAGCACATTTCTATGCACTTGTATGGGTGCTGCCAGTGATCTCTGGATCAAAAAAGAAAAGCATAGTGTCTGTGATGGTCTCTATATGGCTCTAGTATTTAAATGTAAGCATATGGATTCTACCAGACCTAAATTGTAGGTTTATCTGTTAATAGTGCATACTTTTCAATAAACTGCATGATCAGTGGTATCGACAAGTGAGCTGCTGACGAGTTATGTGGTAAAGGTTAATATTAGGTTAATATTACTACTTACTTATAAAGCCCTTAAAGGTCTAGCTCCTGCATACCTAACTAGTCTTCTATCACGCTACAATCCATCACGCTTCCAATCAATAACCTACTCCTAAATGTAATGTAGAAACTTAATATTTTCTGTAAAGCTGCTTTGCAATGATTGGTATCGTGAAAAGCGCTATACAAATAAACTTGAATTGAATTGAATTGAATAGTGGTATGTAAAGTGGCCCATCCCAGACAGCCAGTCACAGTACATCACTCAGACTAAGACTGCTTCAGAGAGCACACACCAGGGCATTATATGGGCTGGTAAAGGAGGATGGCTTAGACTCACATATTATCTGGGATTATACATATGTACAAAATGGGCAGGGTACGAATTAGGGGGAGTTTGGGGGTGTTGAACACTCTATTGATTTGTCAAATAAAGTCAAAACAAAATGCTGCAGGCTTCTTAAGTATATTTTAATAGCATTTTCAAAGTTTCAATAACCTAAAAAAATTGTGTATGTATGTGTTAAATAGTTGCATTTTCCCTAAAGAGAAAACAATAGTGGGCTACTTGAGTGCTTTGCTTTGGGATCATTATGGAAAGGTTATTACTGTTTCTCAGGTTTAGATTTTCAGTGCATTTTGAAAAAATATTTGCCTACTATAGTTAGTAAACATTTGTGACTCTTTTGACTCTAAAGGTGCCTAAAGAAAGGTCTGTTTACACCAAGACAAATATCCGGTGTGAAAATTTGGTGCAATAAACATTTTAAATTGAATGAATGTTAATGTGTCTGTTCAGACCGCCACAAACATTTGCATGGCATCAATGCGACTGATTTTATTTACATTTCATCTCACAGTGAATAAAACTGGCCATCCAATAGGATTTTTCTATAATTTGTGCAGGAGTGCATTTGAAAAGTGACATCTGAGTTAGTGACAGGGTTCCCACTTTCACTTTTTGAATCGATTTCCATGATTATTTTTCAGTTGTATTCCAGGAAATGTTGATTATTTTATAGATTGTACTCATAATTTCTAGCTGGTATTTTAGAGCCAAAGTATTAAAAAAGATTATATTTGTTGTAGAAATTTCCTTGTATGATTTTTACAGGTACAGAAATGTTTAAAAAATCCCCTGATATTTCCAGTTTTTTTCCAGGACTGAAGAAGTGATTGACCATGAGTGAATAGATGAATCCATACACAGTTGCATAGCGCATTGTGTCACAGAATAACTAAGGCTAACTAGGTGCCACCTACTGTTAGAAAGTAAATCTACATTTGCATTTAACCCATCTCCTGTCCTTTACGCATTGGTCTGAACAGACAAATCGTATGCGAAAATCGGACCTAATTTTTCTGCCAAACATTCGTGTCGGTGTGAACAGGCCTTAAAGGTCCCCTGAAGTGCCTTGAAACACGCAGCGTTATTCTATGTGGTGACGTAATTTCACCTGAAACAGGAAGACAGGGCGGGACATATCGAGCAGCCCTGCCCCTTTTTAAAATTAGCCAATAGCGTTTTGTTTATATCTGCACGGGTCACTCAGAGCCGTTGAGCTTGGTAAAGCCGCATTTTACAGCCACAGTCTAATAGATTACCCCCCTAGATTCAATATGAAACTCTTAGTAAAATAAAATAGTGATCATAAATATGCTGAGGCTGTGTAGTTTTAAAAGTGTTTAATATATGCCGACTCGCGCATATGATCCGCTCCGTGCGATCGCGTCTCTGGACCGGAGCCAAAGTCAGACTGAGCGCTGCCGCGGTTCGCGTGACACAACGTGAAACCAGACCTCATTTGCCCCAATCTAAAGCATATTTGCATCTGAATCGTTCCCTATCGCCTACATTGTGCACTACGTGCCATTCACTGTACAGGAAATACTACACTGTGAACAAGCGACCGATCTGCAGCTTCAGTGTCTATTTACAGTGTAGGGGGCGGGCGCTTCGGCTTCTAGAGAGCGTTTGATTGGTCAGAAGATTTGATGAGAAGATGAAGTACGATGTGACGTCAAAAAAATCGTTGAGCCGTTTTGGCGGAAGTGACGAACTAAAAGCTTTGAATGCTTATATCTTCTAAATGCGAATTTTGTCTCTGTTTTGGAGCACACTGTCTTATAGATAACCTTAAGACTAACATATTGATACTAACACCCAAAAAACTTTACTTTTGATTTCATGGGGACTTTAAGGATTTTAATACCACAAGCTAACAACGTGCTTCATCTCCTCTACACTGTAAAGGAGTACGCGGCTTGAGGCAGGGAGCAGTTTCGCCTCAAGGCGTTACCTGTGTCATGCTGCAGGTTGGGGGAAGGAGGGTGGCCGTGCGGGGCAGGGGGTAACTGTCAGGTTAACTAGACTATGCTAAGCTAAGCCAGGCAGAGCGAGAAGCAGTGGTTAGTACCTGCCGGTGTATGGGACCAGGCTTTGACACAGAGCAGGCGGGGCGGGGCTGCAGCCCACATCCCCAGACCCCCTGCTGCACAGATGTGGGGAGGGAGGGCTGGTGTCCCCATGAGGTTTGTGGATGGCACTGTAAATGGGCTCGGCCCTATTGGGGGTACAAAAATCACACAGTAAATGGGGCGCTTTCAGACACACAGAGACAGCAGACACAGAGACATACTGTATGAAGACACATACGGGACACACATGCACACAGATGGAGACAAACACACACATGCAGAAGTGAGGATGCATTCAGCTGGATGGCAAGAGAGGGACGAGTCAGCTCTGGGGCCCGGGCTGACTCACAGGCTCCAGGGAGTCCCTGCTCGGAGAGGTGAAATCCATCTCACGTCCAGGCAACAGTGGCCGTGACTTCAAAACATTTGACCCCATGCCAGAAGCATCTCTTATATCCAGAGTGTTTGTTTGCCGTGTTGGGATTCGTGTTGGAGACTTTATACACCCAGTCATGTTTCGTTAAACCAATGTTCACAAACACACCACCACAGAGAGGCATTACACACCTCGTAGACGTTCTTCAGCCCACACTCGACCCCTACTTAAAATCATTTTTATTTGTTCTGTCTTTGCCCAGTTACATCAGAAAATGTGAACAGTATCGCCAAAAAGAAATTCAACAACTAAAGCTGAAGAACTGTAGCACAGATTGTGGGAAAACAATGTTCTTTTCAAATCAAATATATATGGACATGCAAGTGTTGTTTTTTGTGATTTGTGCATGAGTGCATTTGAAAAGTGACCTTTGAGTGAGTGACAGGGTTCCCACATTTTTTGACCAATACATTTCAAGTCGGTTTCCATGAGAATTTGGTTTACAATTGACTTGGTCACAATTTCTCACTCATTAAATATTTTAGAGCTGAAGTATTTAAACTATATTAGCTGTGAACATTTCTTTTTGCAGGACTTTCCAGGCCTGGAAATGTTAAAATTCCTTGATATTTCCAGGTTTTCCATGGTCGTGGGAACCCTGGAGAGAAGAAGTGAGTGATTGTGAGTGAATAGATGAGTAAATCCATGACTCTGACCTGGTGAAGTCCTCCTCCCCCAGCATGTGGCGTGGGACTGGGGAGTACCTCGAGGGGGTGACCTGGGGCGGCGGGTACACTGGTTTAGGCTCCATGCCTCCCATGTAGGCCATGCTGGAGTTGTGTCCGACGTGGTTGTCCACCATGGTGGGGAAGGCTGGAGGGAGGCCGAGACCAGTAAAGGGAAAAAAAGGCAGATGATTTAACCAGGTAGTTACAAAGGACCAGATTATCTCTGAGATGTGGTTGGGACTGTAGATGTGTGTGCAACACAGCAGCATCATAATACATAGTTTAATTGTAAAATTTAATGCACAACTTAATTAAAATCAAACTAAAACTCTAATAAATGAATCTATAATGCCTAAGTAAGGTTTTTGGACATTATCCGTTTTTGATGACTGATAAGGGACAACATTATGAACTACAAAACTATGGAAACATGTTATAGATATATAAAAAATACAAATTCATAAAATACAAATATAATATTTAAGAAACCAGGGTCAAATTTAACCCAGTTATCAGGCATTACAGCTGCCAAAAAAGCAAGTCTGATTGTGATGTGCATATACACTACTTGAAACGTTTTGCGTTGGTAAGATTTTTTACGCTTCTGAAAAAAAGTCTCTAATGGTCACCAAAGATGCATTGATTAAAGGGGTCATATGATGCGATTTTTAATTTTTCCTTTCTCTTTGAAGTGTTACAAGCTCTTGGTGCATAAAGAAGATCTGTAAAGTTACAAAGACTAAAGTCTCAAATCCCAAAAGGTATTCTTTATAAAAGTTAAGAGTCAACCACGCCTACCTAAAACGGCTCGTTCTAACACACCCCCACATGTCTACGTCACGATGTGGGAAGATTTGCATAACGCCGCCCAAATGTTCACGCAAAGAAGGCATAACTTTTATTCTCGCTGTAGTATTGTTGCTGCCGCCATGTCGTGAAGGCGCTGTGTTTCTCGTTGTGAAAGCGAAACTACTTTGTTTGGCCTTCCAAAAGAGGACGATATCCGCTTCGTCATGCCTAGAGCTGATCCGTGCTGGTCGCTGAGGAAATACATCAACTTCG